CACATCTTAGTTGGTCGGCACAGTACACGCCTAATTAGCTAGCTAATGTTGTTAATTAGTGCTTATCTTGCTATTTCTTCCTCCATATTAATCACAACAATATCTATATGCTTTAGAATCATCATTCTTTTATCTTACTTCTCTCTTTTATTCTTGTTATTATAGTGATTTTTTGCCTATTAATTAGACTAGTCGGAGGAAGTAGTTAGGGTTAATTTTTTCTCCATTTCTCTAAAATCTTCAGTCTCATTTTAGAACTTTAGCTTTCTTTTGTATCTAAAAACAAAAGGTGTATCTGGAGAGCTTTCTCCCACAGAGAACATGTACCGAGACTATAAACAAATGGTAAGCGATCGGCACATGCAGGGGCTTCTCTGGTCCTTGGAGGCGTCCGGATAACTTTTTTATAACCAAAAGCAATTGTGGTAGGTGGATGGTAGAGAATCAATCAACTGATGGTTAGGTAGATCAACGATAGAGAACACTTTTAGGTCAACATAAAACTTGACAATGATGTAAAATATCACTGTCTGTTCGTGGTTTAACCCGTCAGTGATATATCATTATCGGGTCGTAGCTTTAGCCGATAGTGATATGACACTTATCACTGCCGGTTTGTGGCCTGATACGGCAGTGATATGTCACTACCAGGTGGTGGTTTGAGCCGCTAGTGATAGTTGCCTTTACTGCCGGGTCTAAATTTTCTGGATCCTGGACTTACGAACCGGTAGTGATAAGTAATCACCACCAGCTTCAGCACAACCGGTAGTGATGCTCTGACAATGATTTTGTGTTCTAGCGTACTGGCCGCCGTAGCGTGCCTTGCACATTGGAGGAGGGGACACTAGGGCCAGATGCCTACATCTGTGGGGGGGGTCACTGCTAGGGTACCACCATGCGCCCCACACCCGGGAACCGCCATGGAGTTGTGAGAAGGGAGAGAGATGAGTGTCAAGAGGGAAAGGGAGGGAAAGAGAGAGGAAATAGAAACATAGAAGAATAGATATGTAAGCCGGTAGATTCATATGTTCCTAGTGCCTCAATCCTTGTTGTGACATATAGGCACATGGGCCTGTCTGTTAGCCACCCCAAGATAGCACAAGTGGTGGGAGAGACTCTTACTAGGAGGGGCACGAGGGCACATGTAGAGGCTGGGTTCGGCTGATTTTCACCGTCGGCTCTTGTCGGGAACTGATAGTGAAAAGTTTGAGACAAAAACTAGTGGTAAAAATTAGGATGGTTTTCGGCGCTAGTTCCCAAACTGGCTGTAAAAATTATTTCACTGCTAGTTTTGTTATAAACTGACGGGGATATATTGCTAACGATTTTAATAAAAGCATGTAAAAACTGTTTCTACGTTGGTGTAGCAAACGAACTACCTCATATGGCAAATGATACTTGAACCATATTCCGCATTTACTTTTGCCATAAAAAAATAAAGCATTAGCTGCTCTAGATTGTTATTAGGGCATCTTCAACTGTCTTTCTAAAGCCTCTATAAATCCTTATTTGGAAAGCTATTTGCATAAAAATCGATTTCTATATCTTTCTACTCTTCATTCAAGAAACGGTGGCTATATTTTCTATTTTTGGCTAGCGAGAAATTCGAAATAGAAGATCGCTATATAACTGTTGGAGGGTATTTTTGAGAATTTTATTTCCAGGACATCAAGAAACGGTGGTTTTGTGCGCAGCACATTCCACTCGTTGATTTTTACACTACATAGTTGTGGATTTTGTGTGTAACACACTGATCTACTAAATTAAGTTTTTAAGTCTTGCAAGAAGAGAGGACTCTGGATAAAAGGCCAAAATGCCCTTGGACAAAACGGCCAAGCTCAGTGTCACATGCCTGTGCAGCAACTTGAGCTTTCGCGTGGGCAGCACTATGGCGTCGTTGGCATCCTCGCCGTCGCCGTTAGCGCCCCCACGGAATGCATAATGCCCGTGGCCAACGACCATGCCAACAGTCTCCGACACAATCGCGCGCTCGGCCAACTGCAACGCATGTGCCGCCTGGTGATGGACAAGCACCAGCTGCTCCAGCGCGTTCCTTGCCGTCGCGGCTTTGCTACAGAGCGATGTTCATGGACTTGGTCATCTTGCTTTACTCCGTGCTGCTCCAGTGCCAGCAGGCAGCATGCCCGCTTCATCTGCTGGCTCGCGAGTCATGGCGTTGCTTCCGTTCTCTAGGACATAACCAGGACCGTGCCTTGTTGAGGAGGCTGATAATAAGATGACTAGATCAGTCAGAAGAACGGTACAGATAAGAATGTACCAACAACAGAATGAAGCAAGGGCAAATTCGTCCATTTATCATGACCATCATTCCCTGTCAGGTTGGAAAAGGCTCTGTTAACGCCAGCGGTGTGTGCTAAACCAAAACGTAGTTTTGCGAGTGTCCAAGTAACAAAAACAACGAGTGCGGTGTCCATAGACAAAAGGCTTTATTTTTTTTCATCAAAATCTCTCTTCCTAGCAATTAGGAATGATATAGAGGGTCTCTTGGAGAAGCACTAATGATACTTTGAGCGTCTAATGAAATTGGTTATTTACTTGAAAAAACTGTATCATTATCCACATTGATTTTTTCCATTAGAAAAATAAAGTATTTATGACCGGAACAAGTATAATAAACAGAGGGCATTCCAGCATTCAGAGTGAATCAATCATAGACCGCATCCTCGTTCGTCGGCGGAATTTTGTGCCTGCAACCATCAGGTCGCGGTGGGGCTCACAGGATCGATATGATACGTTCGCGTGGTGTGGGTTTGAACTGCAATATGCGTCCTGTTCGTTTGGGCTTGTTTGGCTGATAAGTCATGGCTGAAAGTACTGTTGGCTGGTTTGGTGAGAGAGAAAAATACTGTTCGTTGGCTGATAAGTCATGGTTTATAAGCCAAATATGACCGAGCGAACAGGCTGATGACATTTCAACTCTGGTCCGGTTGTTTCCGCGTTTGAGCACGTCTGGTACCGTCTGAAGCTGATAATCCTGCTGAACGGGTTGCGACGACTAGGTGAACGCACGTCTAGTTCGTGTTGGAGGCTCGCTCGAAACACAAGTCTAGCTTCGCAATTTGGAAAACACGGAGTTGGGTTCCCTGCCTGCCCTTCTGGTGCGCTCCCCCCCCCTCTCCCTCCCGTGCACTCGCCCCCTTCTCCCTACAGTGCATGTGCCGCACCGCCATGCCATCCCCACCGCCACCTCCCTCCACAGCGCCTCCCTCCAGCCCGACCATCCCCTTAGATCCACCGGCAACGGCTAGGTCCACGATGCCGGAGCTCCATATGCCACCCGCCCGTCGCTCGCTGCCCGCTGGATCTCCAGCTCCTCCTTGCCTCAAGCACTCTCGGATCTCTAAGCTCCTGCAAGGCTAGTTGAAACTTTTATCTACATCTAGTTGCAAGGCTATAGACTCATAGGAATAGTAGTAAATAGTGGTACGTGATTTGAGAAAAGTCCAGGGTTCCTAGTTCAAAATGTTCTTTTTTTCTTTTTCTGATAATCTACTAGAAATAATCAGGACAACCAACGTCAGCAGATTCTCTAGATCATGGCTTATCAGATAATCCTGCTTATTTCTTGGAATAAGCGATGCTTATTTTTTAAGTGAGACTCTGAGAAGCTGAAACAATCAGGGCCTCTAGCTCATTTCTTTCCCCTGCATATTTCCATTTATTAACTTGCTCATGTTGCTGCCTTTGACACCTTATGTGTCTCCCGGCTCCCGATGTCTCTCCATTATCTTTCTTGGTGGAAATGATGACATGCTGCAGTTTATTTTTGTGTGTCGATCGGCAACAAAACGGATAAACCACAAAACTTAAATTACTCTTAACACAAACAGAATAATTATGTGCCTCCCCAGAGCATGTAGAACGAAGGAACACTAATAAGGGCATGTTTAGTTTCCCGCACTAGGCTAGCCTGGCTCGCACCGGTGAGACATGCCCTCTTTAGCCATGCCCTGGACGTACAGGAGGGTGTGTTTGGTTGTATACACTAACTCAGCTAGGCTACACAGTGACGCTGTTTGGTTACATGGCTGCATGTGCTCGCGATGGCCAGGAGAGCCTCCCGTGCGCTCAGCGCGCGCTCGCGAGAGCCCCTGCGGGACATGCTCGGCAGGAACGCCCGAATCCTGCGTACTCAAGCAGCATGGCCCTGGGACGGAGGTTGCATGCGCGGGGCAGGCCCTGACCGATGGGCAGGCAACCAAACAGTGGATGGCTGCACCCCACGGACATGGCTGGAGCATGTACACGAAACCAAACACGCCCTAAGTATCTGCCACGTATTTAAAAAATTTGGTATAAACGTTAGCGAAAAAGAAAAAAAATGGTCTACAGATCTTTCTACCACGAATTCCAATTCCTTAGAGGGACACAGAATTAATTAGAGAAAGGCGTCACAAAGGAAGACGACACGCGCATCACTCCTGGAGAAAAAGAAAGGGGAAAGAAAGAAGTTCTCTTATTCCTTCTCATCCGTGAACTTGCCGGCCGTCTGGCACAAGCACATGTGGTATCTTCAGTTGACGAACCTAATTCTTCCTTGGTCCTGGTCGCGGGCAGGCCAGTAGAGCACAAACAAGAATGATTTGCACGCACTTTGGTTATGGATCGGTGATGCTTGTCGACATTTGTCACCAATCTGACGGAGAGGAAAACAGAGGGAAACACAGGAAAATTAAAGGACGAGCAAAATGTACACAACTAATCTGAACTTGAAGAAGTTGTTAAAAGCGACAACCGAGATCATATATACAGTACAATATATGGATTCACACTATGGTTTATCAAACAATCATAGAATTCGTCACAGCGAAACAGCGCATAATTAGAAGACAGCCTCTAGCGCAGAACATAACTACGATACCTCATCATTTTTACAGAACAGACGCAACAAGTAACAAGTGGCAAATAAACACTGCACGCAAAAAAAAAAGTGGCAAACAAACACCGCGCAGCATGCAGTATATTTGTTGCTCACCTCATCACCGCCGTGTTCTGCCTGTAGTCTTGCGATCATCCTTGCCAACGTATGCATGAGCATGATGAGCATCACCATGCCCACGATCTCCACGGAAGTTATTGGCAGCCGGCACCGCCACCACAGTGGGAGAAGCACTAGGGTTAGGGTAGCCGTAATCGTCCTCATGGGCATGGCTACGACGAGCAATCTGCTGCGTCTCGGGTGGCGTCCTCGCGGAACCAGCGACCCCTGCTGCTGCCACTGGCCCGGCATAGTGGCTTGGACTGGCGACGACTTGCTCGACTTTCTTGGGAGCTTTAGTGGCCGTAGTAGGCTCAGGAGTCCTCGCTGCCACAGAAGCCTCCGCGGTCTTCTGGCCCATATGTAACATAGGACTAGGAGGAGCTTGCGGAGCCGCCGGAGTAGGCGAGGGGACTTCTTCTTCCGTGTCGCTATACTCAGGAGATTGCGGTGGCGGAATAGGTGGTGAGTTCGCCGGCTTGTTCTTGTCTTCATCGCTCTTGTTCTTGTTCATGTTCGCACCGTTGCCTTTGTTTGCTTCTTTCCGGTTCCAGTGGACGGCGAGTGGTCGACAGGCTCGGTGTGGCCGACCCCGTGACCAGTATGCTCGTGTGTCACTCGTGGTTGTGGCGGATCATTTTCGCGGCAGCAGAACGGGAGACACATAGCCGGAGCGGGCGCCGAGAGGTATAGCTAAGCTAGCAGCAGCTAGGCAATGCTATGTTAAGCGAGCGATTGGACTGAAGGTATGTAGTAGGTGAGAAGAAGAGTGCAAGTGCATGCATAGAGATATGGCTAATTAGGCGGGAGAATATATCGCCGCAGATATGGGGCTCCGCTGTAGTAAACTGAGTTTGTAAGACTTAAGCTAACGTTAACTCCAGACCCCAGTGTAGTTATATTAGGTCGTCCACCGTATGAAGCAATAGAAAGATGCACGTCCTCAATGATGGAGAACTTATGCCCAAGGCTTTTTATCAAGCCATTCATGGCGTCGTTGTTATCCTCAATGATGGAGAATCATTAAACAGTACGTGTGATGCTAGGTTTATGTTTCCAATTAAAGAGAAATAGAGAGACACACAGTGCTGCTAGCTTGCTTTATTTCTTGTCCTTGGACATATGTACTAGATGTTCTTTTCATAGCAAAATGTGATGATCGTGTAAAATCTTCACCTACTCAATTCGGAAGCATTTGTCCCAATACACGCATGATGTGATGTGTCTATGTGCATTTGTTTGGTGCCATGCTGGGGAGGTAAGCTCCGAAACATTAAGCATTCTTCATGGATGAATATGTCCGTGCAATGCTACATAAAAACAACTATCAACATACACGTCGTTGCCTAAGAGATAAAAACTCTTGTTTTTTCTTGAGGGAATAAGAGATAGCCCGGTTCCAAAGGTCAAATTAAAGACTAAAAGCCTCTTACAAGGTGATAATAATACAAAGTGTTTCCAGCTTATTGCAAATGATAAGCATGGGAAAATACACATTTTCTAGTTAGAAGGGAATAATAAGATCTTGAAAGATGAAATGAAACTAAAAGACCACATGACTTCTTATCACCAAAAATTTATTTGTTCCTCCTATTTGAAAACAACTTTTCCATGATGGAGAATAGAGTTGATGACATCACATAAGTTTCAGACGAGGAAAATGATAATTTTACGACAATGTTTTATGAAGAAGAGGTAAAAGAAGCTATTTTTCAAATGGAACACAATAAGGCTCCGTTACCAAATGGTTTCCCATTGACATTGAGTTCTATATATCAATTGTTTTGGGAACTCATAAAAGTTAATTTGATTGCTATGTTTTGTGACTTCTATAAAGGAGACTTACCTAGCCTTAATTTGGGCATTATTACTTTATTAACAAAGTGTCAAGAAGCAATCAGAATTCAAGATTATAGACTGCAGATATGCCATTTAAATGTAAAGCTTCATGTTTTTTTGCTAAGGTTGCAACAAGTAGAAGGAATAAAGGGTCACATACGATCATTTGACCAACACAATATAATCAACATTTTTTACCTGGTCACTTTATTTTAGAAGGTGCATAATCCTCCATGAATCTAACCATGAATTACATAGAAAGTAGCTAAATGACGTTATTTTTAAAGTGGACTTTGAGAAGACCTAATGATAAAGTGAAAATGGTGGTCTTTCCTTTCAACAAACCCTTTAGATGAAATGATTCTCACATTTGTGGTGTCAATGGATCTATCAATTTGTTTCTGGGGTAGTGTTGCAGTAAAGGTAACCAATAATGGAGGACGGTATTTCCCAAGAAAAAAGGTCTAAGACTAGGTGATCCATTATCACCAATCCTTTTTAATTTAGTAGTGGATATGTTATTTAATTCATTGCTAGAGCTAAAGAGGATGGACAAATTCAAGGATTAATTTCACATCTAGTAAATGATAGCCTCTCAATCCAACAATATGCTAAAGATACAATCCTTTCCATGTTACATGACCTTGAATAGGAAAAAAATATGAAAATTCTCCTGTTTTCCTTTGAACAGCGTTTAGGTTTGGAAATTAACTTCCACAAAAGTGAATTAATATGCTATGGAAATACAAAGAAAATTTTTTGGCCAATACTCATAGATCTTTAGATGGGGGATGGATCAATACCCTTTCAAATACCTAGGCATACCAATGAATCATAGAAAACTTTAATAATGAGGACCGGAAAGTTGTTGAAGTCCGCCTTCAAAAGAAATCGTGTAGTTGGAAAGGAAAGCTTTTATCTTATGGAGGTCTGCTAGCACTGATTAACTCAATTCTAAGTAGCCTTGCTGGTACATGATGTCTTTCTTTGAAGTACAAAAAGGTATTCTTAAGAATCTAGACTTTATAGGTCCAACTTTTTTTTGGCAAGGAGACAACCATAAGAAAACATATAGATTGGCAAAATAGGGGATCTTCTGCCTACCAAAGGAGCAAGGTGGCTTAGGAATTACAAATCTTGAGGTGCAAAATGAATGCTTACTTAGTAAATGGATCTACAAACATGTTAATGAAGATGGAGTTTAGCAAGAACTTCTTAGGAAGAAGTAATTGAAAAACAAAACTTTGGGTGGAAGCCAAGTGATTCCTATTTTTGGTCAAGCCTTGTGAAGGTCCATGACAAATTCTTAGAGTTTTCAACAATTAGGCCTTGTTCAGTTAATCCCCAAACCGAGAAGATTGGAGGGTGTTAGGGGAATTCCCCTCAATACATACCCTCCAATCCCATCGGTATGGGGATTAACCGAACAAGCCCTTAATGTTCATAACGGTGCTCAACTGAGGTGATAGGAGGACAAGTGGTTGGGTAACTTCATCCTCAAAGAACAATATCCAACTTTGTATAACATTATAGGGAAGAAAGATATCATAGTTGCTCGAGCTTTTAGCACTGCACCACTTAATATTTCTTTCATGCAGAATGCTAGGGGTGATAAATTAATTAAATGGAATGGTTTGGTCACAAGAGTAGCATTTGTGCAACTTGATGATTAACCTGATTCTATTAAGGGCCCTTTTGATAGGGTTTTCCTGCATGGGCTCTGTTGCTGGAGCCGAAGCACCCTAGTGAAATCCCAAAAAGCAGCTCCACCTTTGTACAATCAAAACGGATCTAACTCTATTCCACATCAAAAGAGCTTCTCCATCCACGATCATTTGGTGTGTCTCCCGTGTCGGAGCTACCGACGGAGCTGGAGATAGAGCGCACCAAATTGGCCCTAAATGGACCCTCATTATCCGGGGGCATGTGTATATTATGCAACCAATGTATAAAAAAAGTAGTAAATCAAATGGCTATGCCTTTAAATAAATCATTATGGAAGATCAAGTCACCTCTAAAACTCAAGATATTCATTTGATTCTTACTAAAAGGAGTGATTTTTAACAAAGGACAATATCCTAAAATGAATTTGGATGGGTGATGTAAAGTTTTATTTTTGTGACAATAAATAAATCATCCAACATTTGTTTCTTGCGGGTCATGTAGCGTGCTTTGTTTGGAGGATTGTCCCAAAAGTGTATGAAGAGAAAAAAAAAATCTCACATGCCCCCAGCCTAATAAACTAGCTTTTGTGCCCATGAGACAGGGAGGTATTGGTGCATTAATGGGTCTAACAAAACTTATCCTACGTTTTCCCATTATTATGCCCAAGGCCTAGGGGTATGCCCACCTATGCTATAAGGCGGGCTGTGTGAATAGTGGCAAATGGTGGAGGCCAATGGTGGCCACATGCAAGCAAAAAATTGTTTTTGGGTGGCGAGCACCAAACAATAAACATGCCCTTGTTGTGGGAGTCTGAAGGCTCGTGGCGGTCACTGGCACACAAAAGTGTGAAAGAAGATGTAAGAATCCATACACATGCGTAGCAAGGGGCTCTACGTGTTGTTTGCACAGGTGCATACCATGTATGTTTGTGTGTATGTGTATTTAGAGGTTCTCTGACAACAACGTCAGCATGTATGTCAAGGAGAGAGAAGGTGGTGACTAGGAAGGAGGTAGCAACCTCTGCTCTATCCTTGGGACAAAGAAGTGCTCTAACCTCTAGTGATCAACAAGATTCATCCAATTTTCAAAGGGACTCTCTATTCTTAATTGATGTCCCTACATGTCAAGTCCTAGCCGTTCATGATAGCGATTTAGGAGCAGGTCGGATGCTTAGTCTGTCTAACCATAAGATGTGTAGGACCCTAGCTATGTAAGTCATGTGAGGGATGGCTAGTTCCAAAATGCCACCATAGGGAATCCAAGGTCCTTGTCAAGGTCCAAAGATATGACCCAAGAGAGGGATGGGGTGAATTGGGTCACTAAAAACTTTTCTAACCTATGGACTAAACTTGATGCTGCCCTTGACAAACATAAACAAACTAACTAGCAAGATGTGCACTTGATCTTTATCTAGTATTTTTACTTACCCATCAAAATTAGTTTCTCAACATATAGCAAATCATACGAACCACCCTAAGCTATTCTAGGAAATATAGGTAAAACCATAAGTGAGGTATGTAAAAATCAAGCGAGGAATGCAAAACTCCTTAGACAAGATGTAATGATGTGTACTAATTAAGGTATATTGGTAGGAAAAGTGTTACCCCTAGTCCATGTTGAAGCTCCATGCAAAGGTTTTCTCATGGTCATCAAACCTTCCTATAGCATGGTGTTAGACTCGCCACTAAGGCTCTTCCAAGAAAGACATGTGCCACAAGCTACTAAAGCTTGTCATTCACATTTAGCATCTGGTGTTCATAGAATTTTAGCACATCCTAGAAATATAGTCATTCTATTGATTGTCCGTTGCTCATCACATTTTCCACAATTGTATTGTCTGATCCAACATAAATATTAAGCCTTGAAATTAATGACTATTCAGTGCTAACTTAATTGTCGGGGCCATTCAAATTCTAGAGCATTGGACTACTTGGTACTCAAATTTTATGTTGTTTTATTTGTTTTGCTTTAGTTTCTTCTCGGCCTTCACATCACTTGTTCCATTGCATC